TTTTTTTCATTATCATTATCATTATCGTTATATTTATTAGATATTTGCGTTTTTACGTTTTGAATGGAACTCCTCTCTTGGCTATTAATTCTATTCGGGATTTAGGGGTGTAATTTTGCTATGACTTATCCTTTAAGAAACATATACATCTCATTACAAGCTCTACGTTCAAGAGACTTGGTTTCATAAGCCGACCGTGTAAAAAAAAATGAAATTATTGTATTGCACCCTTGTGAGACCGCAATTAGAATATGCCTCAATCGTTTGGTTTCCTTTTCACGCAAATCAATGTGCTCTGCTTAAGAAGATTTAAGACCATTTTCTTCATCGCGTTAGTTTTAACTTGCATATACCGACGAACTTTTTTGATCACAACTATGACTATTTACTGAAAGATCTAAAATTGCTAATTTTAAAAAAATTGTAGAGTTTTATTGGATTTGTGTCTAAACTGTAAATGGTTACTCCTGATCTACTCGAGCAAATCAATCCACGTGTTCCTTTAAAATCGCTTAGATACAATCAATTATTTTTTGTTGAACCTACCACCGTATGTGCTTGCTGACAAATGATTTTCCGACGCACATGAATTTTTTTCATCCAAATTTAAATTCAACTAAAATAATTCTTTCTCGTTATTTCTTTCTCGTTAGTTTAATATCATATGAAAGAGAATGCTATTATCATATTTAAGCTGAAATTTTTACTCAAGTTGTGAATTTCTATTAATTACTTTTTTTCGACTTTGATTTATATTAATTTTGATGTGTATTATTAGCTCTGTATTAGAGCGTTTCTTCTCCGTTAAAAATGGATGAAATAAATAAAATAAATGAATCTTAAAATAAACGAATCATTTTTACTATTTCAGATGGCGAGTACCTCTTTGTGGATTCCGAAAATAAGTTGAACAAGTATGCCCCGAAGAATTGGCGAAACTCTCATACATATGTAAGTAATTATTGTTTGATGAATAGCCTGAAATATGTGAACTGATGGTTGCTGGAGACATCCAAATTATCGAGATTTGAAAGAATTACTAAGATGATTAGAGATTAATACCAGGTGTGTTTTTCGAGCTTTATTGAGTAACGGTTTCGAGATGACTATGGGCTTTGACAGACACTCACAAGGGAACCTCGCAAACCCGAAAATTTTGATTTTGATGAAACTTTAGACATATAAGGGGGATCAATAGATGAATTTAGAAATTTTCAGTTGCTGCCCAAAAACGGTTCTAAAAATTTTTCAGAAATCTTTTTAAAAAATAATTTTTTCAAATTTTTATTAATGTGGTTAAATAGAACTGTTTTTACCATAAAATTTTTGTATAAAACATTTTTTGATATCTCGAATAGTTTTCGAGATATATCGAGAAAAAGCAAAAAGCCGCTTTACGTATGTGAGGTGCTTTCACCCCTTAGAATCGTTTTTGGATAGCAACTGAAAATTTCTAAATTCATCTATTAACCTCCTCTACATGTCTGTAAAGTTTCACCAAAATAAGAATTTTCGGGTTCGCGAGAGGTTCCCTTATCAGTACATAGATTTTAAAATCGCGGTAGCTAGAGATTTGAATGTGTGGATGCCGTTTAATGTATATGTGCGTAAGTATAAATGTGTGTATACATATATGAGTGATATCGAGGTAAACAGTTAGAAAAACTAGCGCAAATCCGCGTGCTGTCGAAAGCGGTTTAAAGAGAATATAATAGAGAGTGATATAATATAGAAAATTAAGATAAACAGAGATTTAAATGATACAAATGTGATAACGAATAAATCTTTCGAGAATTTATTTTAATTAAATGAATTGAAGTGAGAATTATTAAATTATTATAAATTGGAATTCGAGTTAGAGTTTTGCCCGAACATTCCGCCCGCCTTGTCAACTTTATATTGACAAAATAAGAGTATCTTTTTCAAAAAGCTTGCGGAATAGAAATTGAAATAGTCTTTTTTGAGTTGTTACATCCAGACTCGAGGAAGGATGAGTCAATGGAAGGGCGCAACAACTATCTTAATTATCCCGAAATCAGATGCTTTGCGATATAAGAATCGTGTCGAACGAACTCGCAGGTCTGAAAGTTAGGTAAATGACCGTTCGGGTCGCTATTACGCTGTTTATTCAGACGTTCGCTCAGTGGTCCCTTTTCGGTCAAGGAATTTAATTCCTTTTACGCGAGATGGAACTTAGTGCGATCTTCGTACTGGGAACGACAGAGGGGTTAAGAAATGTTTGATTAGTTAAATAAAAATATAATTTTATTCATTAGAAAAATGAAGGTTTAAATACATGTTATATATATATACAGGGTGTCCTAGACCACCAGTACACCCCTTTTCTTTCAAAAACTAAGCATTTTAGAGAAAAATGTTTTCAACAAAAATTGTATGGTTTTGAGGGGAACATAAGATGGTGTCATTGGTTTGACCTTGGATGGCATCGTTATAAGGACACGTGAAGGTCACCTTCAATTTTTTAAATGGAACTTTTCTTTCAAAAACTAAGCATTTTAGAGAAAAAGTCAGATTAAAATATAAAATAACTCAAAAAGTACTTAATAAAAAAATAATTTATTAGTGTTTTGAAAAGCTTTCGGGATAAGCTATAAGAATATGCAATGAAAAATAAAGGATTCCATTTAAGAAATTAAAGGTGTCCTTGACTTGACCTTAACGATGCCATCCAAGGTCAAACCAATGACACCATCTTATGTTCCCCTCAAAACCATACAATTTTTGTTCAAAATGTTTTTCTCTAAAATGCTTAGTTTTTGAAAGAAAAGGGGTGTACGGTTGGTCTAGGACACTCTGTATATATAAAAGATGATAATATTAATCGTGTGAGTGTAAATGTGTTTGTGTATGGTTGAGCTTATCTCTTCGCGGGTGTTACACAAGTTCGGGAGATATCAGCCAGACTAATTAGAGAAAGATTCTATCGTTAAGATTAAATCTCTGACTGGTAAATACAATATGTGATTATCTTTCAGAAAATATCAAAAAATAAAGTGTAAAAATACGTCAGTGTGGAAAATGGATCATTGAATGAGGAAATACATAAGGAAATTTTTAAATCGTGCTTAGTTTTGATAGGATGACTCTGCTTCTAAATCAGGAAGTTCATTGATAAATTCCTGGATTGCCTTCTCGAAATCATCCGATTCGGAAGATTAAGAAGAAGGAGGATGCGAATTATTGAGAACGACTGTTGATAGGGAGGAAAATGATTGCGGGGAGAGTAGTGGTTCAGGGGAAGGAGAGTTCAGGCGTTCGGGAGAATACACGGGAGAGTAGCTAGGCGAAAAATGGTAGGGGGAAAGAGGAAGGGTTGTAGGTTCGGTGGATCGTGTGATTGTTTGTGTGTCTGTGTGCGCGTGTGATGAGCTAAACCTACTCCTAGTAATCGCTAGATTGGTAAGGTTCGAATTTGTAGAAGCTCGGGTCAACACCTTCCGATGGATCTGATTCGTGCAGCGGGTCGTAAGATATATAATTTGCCCGATCTGGTTCTCACTACGGAACCAGTGTAAATAATAAGATTTCTATTAGGGATGGGCGATGTGTGAAAAAAATCGATATTAAATTAATCGACGTTTGAATACATCGATGTTGATTAATCAATCATTTACAAAAAGTATCGATACATCGATTATTTTCCAAAATAAAGGAACATTTTTTAATTATAAGAATAGTTGAAAAGTCAATGGCTTTATAGAGGAATAACGCGAATTAATGAATATAATTTATTTTATTTATTCTTTTGTTAATAAAATTTCCCATCAGAAACAGGTTTCCGAAATGCTGCGGTGCACTTTCCAAATGTTGCTGTCAGCTGTCACTATAAATAATTTTCAGAAATTATTATTACGGCCAATCACGACTTGTGAAATGTACATGCTTTCATAGCAAACCAAAACCATAATCCATAATCCATAAATCAAGGCATTGTATGATAAATTAATGTGGTGCTGCTAACTCCTGGTACTTCATGAGTAAGAAAGGAAATAGTGGCATATTTTTTAAGGGAATAGTTCAAAATGGAAGTTCTATTTAATTAGAAGTAATGTGTATACAAACATCCTATACAATTAGTGCGCAATTAAATATATTTATAAAAATGAAATTAAAATTAGTAAATAAAGGTTTAGCTTTCCAATAAAAGATGAATCTCACTTAGGAAAGAAGAACAAATAAAAAAGTAAAGAAAGGAAGACAGAGCAAACAAATAAAACCACATACACACACACAGTATTTTTATGTTAGTCCCCATTCTTCATTTGACATACTGCTAAAAAATAATAACACATTGAGATGCTCACCAGTAAGACGACTGCGATTATCAGTTTTTACATTCCCAGCATGTGAAAATAAACGTTCGCATGGCACTGAGGTTGAAATAATGCTCAGATACTGCAATGCCAATTTGGACAATAGTGGAAATGCAGGCTTCAGTAATTCCCAATGGTTGAAAGCATTCTCTGAACGCTTAATCACCGGCTGATGCAAATATTGTTTCAATTCCAGATTCAAACTTTTAGAATCTGTATCAGTTACCTCTCTATTTTTCATCACAAGATTATCGTAAAAATGCCACAGATTTGGAGTTGAACTCTTCACATTATTAACATCTTGATCGTTTTCTATTGCCTTTTTTGTTTTATAACTAGAGATCTTTCTCATCTGATTGTCAATATCTTGGATTGCATTGGAAGCTGCTAAAGCAGTTTTGAAGTGCAGTCGTTTGAAGCGAGGATCTAAAATTGTTGAGATTGCGAGAATTCGAGTCAATTCCAGATGTTGAAATTTATTGTTGATCTGATTGAGCAACTTCGCCTGAAACTCGTTGCCAATTTCTGTTGCAGTCACGCAATCAGTAATAGCTGCTGTCATGCAGTGGATAATTGGAATCATGACGCTACAAGTGGGATAGTTTTCCTCGCTTATCTTGGTAATTACACTTGCGACAGAATTCATCAATGCTACCAAATCTTTTAGAACCGAAATTTCAGTCCTTGAGAGCATATCTGGCATATTGGTACATTTTGATATTACTGGATAAACATATTCCTCTAGTGCCAAAAAAACGCTCTAACATGTAGTACCCATTATGTTGTATTCCATCGCGTTTCAATATCCTGGATAAACTTCAAGACCGTTCCGTCGGTTTTTCCATCACGTTTCTGCAGTCTTTTCAATTCATCGGATGCGACAATACTGTGTCTGGTGAGTCTCACAATCTTTTTTACTTTACTTATAATTCCCATGGCAGGTTGGATGGACAGTAGTGCGTTCGGCACCAAATGGGATAGGATGTGCGCGAAACAAGATAATTGTTTACTACTTCCAACTAATTTGATAACTGCGCTTCTAATATTTGCTGCACTATCGCTAACCACAGCCATGACCTTGTTTGAGTCTATGTGGAAATCCTCCATAACCTTCAATAAAGAGTTAGTGGCATATTTTTTAAGGGAATAGTTCAAAATGGAAGTTCTATTTAATTAGAAGTAATGTGTATACAAACATCCTATACAATTAGTGCGCAATTAAATATATTTATAAAAATGAAATTAAAATTAGTAAATAAAGGTTTAGCTTTCCAATAAAAGATGAATCTCACTTAGGAAAGAAGAACAAATAAAAAAGTAAAGAAAGGAAGACAGAGCAAACAAATAAAACCACATACACACACACAGTATTTTTATGTTAGTCCCCATTCTTCATTTGACATACTGCTAAAAAATAATAACACATTGAGATGCTCACCAGTAAGACGACTGCGATTATCAGTTTTTACATTCCCAGCATGTGAAAATAAACGTTCGCATGGCACTGAGGTTGAAATAATGCTCAGATACTGCAATGCCAATTTGGACAATAGTGGAAATGCAGGCTTCAGTAATTCCCAATGGTTGAAAGCATTCTCTGAACGCTTAATCACCGGCTGATGCAAATATTGTTTCAATTCCAGATTCAAACTTTTAGAATCTGTATCAGTTACCTCTCTATTTTTCATCACAAGATTATCGTAAAAATGCCACAGATTTGGAGTTGAACTCTTCACATTATTAACATCTTGATCGTTTTCTATTGCCTTTTTTGTTTTATAACTAGAGATCTTTCTCATCTGATTGTCAATATCTTGGATTGCATTGGAAGCTGCTAAAGCAGTTTTGAAGTGCAGTCGTTTGAAGCGAGGATCTAAAATTGTTGAGATTGCGAGAATTCGAGTCAATTCCAGATGTTGAAATTTATTGTTGATCTGATTGAGCAACTTCGCCTGAAACTCGTTGCCAATTTCTGTTGCAGTCACGCAATCAGTAATAGCTGCTGTCATGCAGTGGATAATTGGAATCATGACGCTACAAGTGGGATAGTTTTCCTCGCTTATCTTGGTAATTACACTTGCGACAGAATTCATCAATGCTACCAAATCTTTTAGAACCGAAATTTCAGTCCTTGAGAGCATATCTGGCATATTGGTACATTTTGATATTACTGAATAAACATATTCCTCTAGTGCCAAAAAACGCTCTAACATGTAGTACCCATCATGTTGTATTCCATCGCGTTTCAATATCCTGGATAAACTTCAAGACCGTTCCGTCGGTTTTTCCATCACGTTTCTGCAGTCTTTTCAATTCATCGGATGCGACAATACTGTGTCTGGTGAGTCTCACAATCTTTTTTACTTTACTTATAATTCCCATGGCAGGTTGGATGGACAGTAGTGCGTTCGGCACCAAATGGGATAGGATGTGCGCGAAACAAGATAATTGTTTACTACTTCCAACTAATTTGATAACTGCGCTTCTAATATTTGCTGCACTATCGCTAACCACAGCCATGACCTTGTTTGAGTCTATGTGGAAATCCTCCATAACCTTCAATAAAGAGTCATGTAAGTAATCACTGGTATGATTCTTATCTAATGGTAAAACTCCCAAATATCCATTTTTCATCTCACAATCAGCTCCCAGGTAATGGATGGTTACACCAAGATAACTCTGATTAGTAACATCGGTCCAGTTGTCACATGTTAAAGTATACTTTAATTTTTTCTTTGAACTGTTCTTTCATCATTTCATATCTTGCTCCCATCATGTTTGTAATGGTCTTCCTACTTGGAATGTTATATAAGGGAGCTGTAGCTTTCATAAGCACCTTGAATCCCTTTGCCTCTACAGTAGAGAGTGGGAGTTTGTCAACGGCAATCATATACATAATTGACAATGTTATTCTATCTGCAGTATGTCCACCCTCTGAAAACATTATTATTATTTTAATTATTATATATATATATATTAAAAACAATTGTTTTTTAATTTTTCACCAACCTTTGAAGGACTTTATCCTGCTAAAAGCATCGTCAATTCGTGATTGATTGCCCTGTAATTATTATTTTTAGAACATATCAATAAAAAATTTATATCATGTATTTTGCATTTTAAAAATCATACCAATTGGAGTTTCTTTCTTTTAGAAATCTGAAGAACTTTGCTAACAGATCCATAACTTCCTTTAGAAGACTCCGAGTCAGAATTACATTTTCTTCTCTTATATGGTTGTGATATTAATATCTCATGCTTCCTTGAAAGATACTGCATTAGGTTTGTGGTATTTCTACTATGTTTTACGATTTTTTCACAGAAACAGCATTTGGCTGATGTGTCATTATGTTTTGTGTAGTGTTTCCACGCAAAACTTGTTTGTTTGGCAGGAAGATTCTGCACAGGCATCTTTTGTAATTTGCATCGAAGGGATTGATCCTCTGGACTTTGAGATGAAATATCAACACTTTCCTCTCCAATATTTGGAATATCTGTTGACGATTTATTCATAACCTCGTTAGATGATCACGATGGTTACGACTTTTGAAGTTTTTATACTAGATTATATATATGTATCCATACAAAGTTTGTTATCATTAGATAATAAACATTCTATATGTATAACAGAGGTTCAAAAATTATATACAATTTTGTGTAATAGAAATATTGCTTACCGTTGTCAGGAAATACTGGATCCATTGCAATTCACAACACCTTCGTGAATGGCTTTCAATAGCGAATATATACACTTGAAATTTTTTATTCAAAATTAAAATTTTCGAATAGATATTTGATCTAGCGCTTACACTTATGACATCGCGCACACGTGTAGAAATAATCGATACTGTCACAAAACAAAATGCGCTATCGAGCGTAACAAAAGATTGCCGGAAGCGAAAAATGCCTGTACTCTATTCCCTTGAATTATCCTGTGCAACAGGGCAGAGAAAAACAGACGATTTTCTCTTACTCCTCCGGGTATAAAACGGTGCGCTCTGCTGCAGCCGTACTTACTTAAGATAAATTTCTACTACCGCGAGTCTTTTAACTTGGGCACATACATTACACGTGTACGCAGACCTACGCTATTCCCAATTCCCACGCTATTCAACGATGCTCGCGCACACGGATGATGTTTCAAGTTTCCAAAACGCAGCCTTGGCCAATCACCAATACTGACGTCACCGTGACGTCATTGCGCCTGCGCAGAAGCGTCAGCGAACTAAACCTTGATGGCGCGGGGTAAGGTGCAACCTTACAATAGAAAATAATAAGAAAAAAATTATCGATGTCTGACATAAACAATCGAACATCAATGTATCGGATGAAGAAAACATCGAACCGATTAATCGATTATTAGAAAGAAAACTATCGACCATTTTGATTAATCGATAAACATCCCTAATTTCTATCGCGTATATGAATAAAAATTGATTAGTTGAGGCTTACTTTTTATTGTTTTTTCGGAACAATAAAAGAGTTGATTTTTCTTACGCTCTGGGTCGCTCTAAGTCTCGTGGTGTGATTGGATCTCCGGATGACGAGTGAAGACACTGGCGAAAACTCGGTGGTGCACTATGTTGTGAATAAATAACTGACGAAAACTAAGAATGACTGAATGACTGACTGACTGCCGAAAAAAACTGGATTTGACGAAAACTGATTAGCTGACTAATTGACGAAAAACTGTTTGTGCGAGTCTCGCGAGCTCCCTTTTTATAGTTCGTCGATGTCAGGTCGAAAGTCCATTGAACATTTTTCGACAGATTTGTGCGCACGTGATTCTAAGATGGATAACAAAGATCTGGTAAATATAGCGAATAGGGGACCCAGCCCCAATAACCTTGACCTTGACATATGTTGTCAAGGACAATCTTATTTTTCTATGATTTTAATCGATATTGCTGCGGTTGTTGTTATTACATATTTCGTAAGGTGTTTTCATCGTCTTTTAGTTGTTTCATTGTTGTTTCACTGGAGAATTTTATTGTATGAGATATCTATTATACTATTTTTTTATTTACCTAGAGAAGGTTGGCGTAGTTCTTTTTGTTTTCCTCGCGGTTACTCATGGATATATTTACTGATAATTGATGAAATGTATAAAAAGTTGTGTGGTGCAAGACGTTCTATTTACTGAGAGACTTATTACCAATCGACGATCCTTGCCGTAATTTCGTGGAAGGTAGGAATCGTGGAATCGGCAGGACGTAACAGAGTCTTCGTTAGCGTTCGGTAAAACACAATTTTACTATAGATCTCTTAAGAGTTGAAGTTGCTGTTTCGACAGTCACTATTCGATCGATTCCGTCAGCATCAGGATGCACATCAATTATACGCCCGAGAGGCCATTTGACGGAGGAAAGCATTTGTCCTTGATGAATACAAGAACGTCCTTTTTAAAGGAGTTTTGCTTACGATTCCACTTGGATGAGACCTGCAACTGATGCAGGTACTCCGAGGACTATTATTGCCAGAAGGATTCTGTCATCTGACGTAGCAATTGCAAGCGTGATAGCCGATTCCGAAATAGTTCCTCGAGAGACGGTTCCGGGACGGTAGCGAGCGCTGATCGCACGAGAAAGTGTTCAGGTATAAAAGCGGAAGCGTTAGAGGAATCGTCTGAAAAAGCGGCTAGTGGACGCGAGTTTAAGATAGCTTTGATTTGAATTAAGAGCGTTGACAGTTTTTCATAGGTTATTTCATAAATGAACAGTGTGTCACCGATGACTTGACGGAAATGAAATTTGACTGATTTTATTCCAGCCTCCCATTTTCCACCAAAGCGTGAAGCGGAAGGAGAGTTAAATCTCCACGTCACATCCATCGTTCGCGATGGATTTACGATGTGAGTCCATTCTTGAGAGTAAGCAATGAACATTTTCTTTAGTTCTCCGTTGGCGCCTATGAGATTGGCACTGCAGTCACTCGTTATGGATGAGCAGAGGCCTTGACATCTGATAAAGCATTTGTATGCGACAATGAATTCTTCGGTCGAATAATCGGTAGCTACTTCCAAATATATGGCGGATGTGCTGAAGCAGATAAATGATAAAATAGCCCTTGTAAGTCTTGCCTACGACATCGGAGTATCCAATGAGACTGGAATGTTTTGTGTCATCTTCGTATAAAATACTGTAATTTGTAAATCGTTCCTAAGAGATAGTGCATGATGCGTTGTTCCAATAATTATTATCATGTTCAATAACATATTTACTGACATTACTAACTGTAAAAGTGATATCTGGTCGCAAAATTGTTGCTACAAACAGTGATGAACCGATCGCTTTGCGATAAGATAATCTCTTACATTTGCATTCTCCAGTCTCAATTGGATTTAGAATTACATGAGAATTCGCGGGCACACTTTTACGCATTAATCATACCGAACTTCTCAATTATTTTTTTAATATATGTCTTTTGATATATAAATAATGTTTTCAATTCTCGATTACGTTTGATCTCTATTGCTGTAAAGTAATATACATCACCAATAGTTATATAAAATGATTCTCGAAATAAATTGAAAATAGTCAGAACTTTCTCTGATTTCGCAGCAATTATAACCCGTCATCTACAAATAATTTATTTATTTATTTATTTATAAACCGAAAAGAGGTCCCTTTAGTACAAAAAAGAAATGTAATTACAATTTCAACATCAACAAAAAACACAGAATAAGATGCTAAGAGAATAAATGAGAAAAGACAGACATAACAAATTACAACAAAAATATATATAAAAAAAAAATAAAATAAAATAGAATAAAGAAAATCTAACGAAATAATGATCGTTAAGAACTAAGAGATATTTGGAAGAAATCCACGCGATCAGAGAATTCATTAGCCAGTAAACATGGCCGATTCAGAGGTTTGAATTTGCCGTAAGAAGCAGGATGCACTTTCTCATAAAAAATTAAATTGTTTCTGAGAGGCTTGGCTGGAATATGCAACTTTACGCGATCCAATAAGTCCGGGCAAATAATATCCTCACTAACCAATTTAAAAAAAAAACAACAAATCTAAATATCTTCTTCTACTTTCTAATATTACAAACTTAAACATATTTCACATAATCATATAATCATATAATCATATGTATAGTCGGAATAACACATTGGATTCTCCGTAAGAAAACTAACTCTCCAGAGAAAGCGATGGATTGTCTCCATCATTGCACAATATTTAATTTGGTACGGAGCCCAAACGATGGCGGCATATTTCAACTGTGGTCTAACTAACGAGCAAAATAATAGTTGTAACCTATAAATATTATTAAAATATTTACAAGACCGCATAACAAATTCAAGCTTTTTAAATGTCTCGTAATAGCCTAAATATGTTTTACAAAGGAGAAATCAGCACAAAATATTATACCTAAGTCACGAATAGAATCGATAACCGAAATAGCAGCAGTGATGCAAACTCTGCGGCTTCTGCCCGCTACCAGCGCATGTGGAGGGGGTAGCGCACACAAGGAACGAGTCCTGTACGTGTGTTGAAGGACTTTATCCTGCTAAAAGCATCGTCAATTCGTGATTTATTGCCCTGTAATTATTATTTTTAGAACATATCAATAAAAAATTTATATCATGTATTTTGCATTTTAAAAATCATACCAATTGGAGTTTCTTTCTTTTAGAAATCTGAAGAACTTTGCTAACAGATCCATAACTTCCTTTAGAAGACTCCGAGTCAGAATTACATTTTCTTCTCTTATATGGTTGTGATATTAATATCTCATGCTTCCTTGAAAGATACTGCATTAGGTTTGTGGTATTTCTACTATGTTTTACGATTTTTTCACAGAAACAGCATTTGGCTGATGTGTCATTATGTTTTGTGTAGTGTTTCCACGCAAAACTTGTTTGTTTGGCAGGAAGATTCTGCACAGGCATCTTTTGTAATTTGCATCGAAGGGATTGATCCTCTGGACTTTGAGATGAAATATCAACACTTTCCTCTCCAATATTTGGAATATCTGTTGACGATTTATTCATAACCTCGTTAGATGATCACGATGGTTACGACTTTTGAAGTTTTTATACTAGATTATATATATGTATCCATACAAAGTTTGTTATCATTAGATAATAAACATTCTATATGTATAACAGAGGTTCAAAAATTATATACAATTTTGTGTAATAGAAATATTGCTTACCGTTGTCAGGAAATACTGGATCCATTGCAATTCACAACACCTTCGTGAATGGCTTTCAATAGCGAATATACACTTGAAATTTTTTATTCAAAATTAAAATTTTCGAATAAATATTTGATCTAGCGCTTACACTTATGACATCGCGCACACGTGTAGAAATAATCGATACTGTCACAAAACAAAATGCGCTATCGAGCGTAACAAAAGATTGCCGGAAGCGAAAAATGCCTTTAATGATTAAAATATAAAATAACTCGAAAAGTACTTTATGAAAAAATACATTATTATAATGTTTTGGAAAGCTCTCGACATAAGCTATAAGAATATGCAATAAAAAATAGGGGATTCCATTTAAGAAAGTAAAAGTGTCCTTGACTTAACCTTAACGATGCCATCGTTTTTCTCTAAAATGCTTAGTTTTTGAAAGAAAAGGGGTGTACGGGTGGTCTAGGACACCCTGTATTTATATGCTACATATTTTGGGAAATGTAAACAATTAACTTTTTATTGATTAGAAAATTTGAAATAATTGCTATATTTATATATATGAGGTGCGTCTCAAAAGTAATGAGAATTATTTTTTTATACTTCCCACGAGGACTGCGTGAGGAAAATGGGGATGGAGGTTGTTGCGGGGGTATCTCAAGTATACGGCCGGACTATCCTCAGTTGAGCCCGAGCCTTTCGAAGCGTCGGTACATTACAAAAGTGCACTTTTGTTTTTCACTCTCGTTCAGTCAGCCGCGACGAGGGCTCTGAACAATCTCTCATATGAAGACTTCCAGCACTGCTACGAAGGATGGCAGCGTCGCTGGAATCGTGTTCAGTTTCAGGGGGCTTACTTTGAAGGTGATCGAGCCTAATTGTATGTTTTTTGAATAAAAGGATTTTTTTGGAAATCATTCTCATTATTTTTAGGACGCACCTCATATGTGTCTTTAAATATATGTATAGTTAATATGACATACACAA